GGGGGCAAGAGATGATGGATCCCCCCCCTCTCTCCAGCTCAGCCGCGGCAAGGGAGCTGTCTGCTCTCTGCTTCCTCTCGCCACGCGCTAATGCCGGGAGCCGGAATATGACATCATATTCCGGCTCCCAGCTACTGTAGACAGCCCGCGCGGCGAGATGGAGCAGAGAGCAGACAGCTCCCTCGCCGCGGCTGAGCTGGAGAGAGGCGCCCGCCCCACTGGACCCCAGGGACAAGTCCACGCCAGCACTCCAGGTAGGAGGCTGGGTGGACATTTTTTTTAATTAAAATATAATAATTTGTTCTTGTGTGTGTGTGAGTGTCTGTGTGTGTGTGTGTCTAACCTGCTGTGACTCAAAAATGCCCAAGTCGAATTGCAGTCCTTCCCTGCCTCTGTGTCTCATTGGAGATTTTGCTTTTCAGCTTAAATCAGAAGACGCACCACTTTTAAGAAACACTCTAAGTACCAAAACAACTTCAGCTTAATGAGGCAGTTTTATTCTATACATAATGCCCTGCAGTCTCACTGTTCAGTCCTAGCCACACTTTTCCTGCTCTCTACACACTTCCTGAAAAAGAGTGTAAACTTTTTTAGCTTCCCTAATTTCAGTGTGTTTACTTTAGAATTTCTTATCTCCTGCTCTGTTAATAGTTTGCCTTGCATGGACAGGCTACACATAAACACATTAGTTTATAGGGAACTGTAAAGAATTTACAAAATAATTTCATATGATAGGCTAAAATAGCTTAAAGCGACACTGCAACAGTCTGGGGACTTTGCATAATTTGCAAAGACCACCAACGATGACATCGCCGATGGTGGTCCAGTGGCAAGCGGGGGCCAGTAAAGGTGACATTTTCATACCTTTAATCTGTCCCTCGTGGGTGGTGCCATCTTCTTCCAGCTGTTCATCTTCGGTGCCAGGAGCCAATGTTACTGCTGTACTCTTGGTCATGTGCGAGAGTACAGCATTGAGGTCTGTGGAGAAGACTGCATGATCCTCCATAGTTACAGCTAATATCTCTGCACTGTGCTGGCTGGGAGATTGAAAAGGTCTGGAAGTGTCAGGCGTAGGAAAAATACGGAGACAAAATAGTCCCTACTACTCTGTCTCTACTGTGTCTCTGTATATCTCTTGACTGTATTCAGTCACTGTATTTCAGTGAAATTCCAACACAGCCAAAATGAGTACTTCATAAAAATGTTAGCTTTATGAAATAATCTTTTTGCGAGGGCGGAAGAGAGGGGTGATTAGCCAACCTGTCAACTTTAACTCTTTTAGAGCTATTCACTAAATTCCAAATTGTACTTAACTGATATCCAAATTGTAATCTGGCAAACATTTTATACTGAGCTATAGTCACAGCATGACTATTTTTGGCTCAGTTTTGCCATCTGGATTATATTCACTACAGTAAAGAGTAAATAACACTGCATATCTTGCAACTGTGGTTTAAATGGATATAAAAATGTGTACGTGTCAAACTGTCAAGATAAACACCGGCTCCAAAGGGAATACAACTCTGTATGCATTTTCTCATAAAATTTTCTGTTTGTTCAGGGTTTCCCTCTCGTGTCATTCTGACTTTGGTTCCCCTTCTGTATCTGCTCCTGTCTTGATCAGTTTCGATTAAAGTGTTCTTTCTTCCCTAATTATCCAGGAAGAGGTGCCAGATTTTATAATAACACTTTTTTTAAAAGTCCATCCTCACATTTAACCCACTGTCTACCCGGTTTATGTTGTCTCTTGTAAAATGAAAGGAATACTACGGCCACCATAATGTCTTGTCTAGAATGTAAGCTCATTTGAGCAGGGCCCTCAACAACTTCTGTTCCTGTGCGTCCAACTCGTCTTGTTGCAAATGCATGTCTGTTAGTCCACCCATTGTACAACGCTATGAAATTCATACTTCCTAACATTTCAAAAGGCTGAAAAGAGACCAATTCATTTTAGGAAGTGTGGCCTTGGTATGGGCTATTTGAAAACGTCAGATGACTTCATGTTCTACTTGTAAGCATTTATGCAATGGAAAATCTAAAAATGGAAAACAAATTAGAACAAGAAAAAAGTATTTCTAAACACATTTATTTTAGTTTGAAGATACATTACTGTGAGATTTATTAATGTGAAGGTTTACTATGCAATTAAACATATAAAATGTGTTGAGATCCTAGAAAAGAAGGACATCAGGAAAGTAAAAAGGACCGGACAAATTCATGTAATTGCTACAGCTTGCATTAGCATGGGGGGGTCTCCCAGAAGTACCTTGGCCATGTACCAGGCAATTAAAGCGAACACCTTTTTATACTGTTTTGAAATGCTAAGTCTAGAGTTTTATATGTGTGCCTACAATTATAATTGGATATAAAAACAATTCCCAAGGCTATCTATTGCAAATAACATTCACTAAATCAAGTTCAGTACAGTTAATGGACCAAAGCAACTTTAGCTTAATAAAGCAGTTTTTGTGTCTAGATCATGCACCTGAAGTCTCACTGTTCTAAGAGTTAAAGGTACAATGCACGAACCAGACCACTTCTGCCCATTGGAGTGGTCTGGGTGCCAACTCCCACTACCCTTAACCAGGGACGTATTAGCCGCGAGGCAAACAAGGCATTTGCCTTGGGCGGCATTTTTCAGGGGGCGGCAAAAAACGCCGCCCCCCAAATGCCAGGGCAAATGCCTAGTTAGCCTTGCGGCTAACTGACATCCCGGGCGGCCGGCGAGGGAGCACTTCCCATGAGCTGACTGCTCAGCTCCCTCGCGCACCGCAAAGTGAGGCTGGGAGCCGGAAGATGACGTCATCTTCCGGTTCCCAGCCTCACTCTGCAGCCGACGCGCGAGAGAGCTGAGCAGTCAGCTCATGGGAAGTGCTCCCTCGCCGGCCGCCCGCCCGCCAGCCAGCGCCGCCCGCCCTGCAGCCACTGGACCACCAGGGAGAGAGAGACCCCCCCCCCCCAGCACTCCCAAAGGTAAGGAGGTTGGGGGGGGATTTAAATTAAAAAAAAAGTTAATGTGTGTGTTTGTGTCTGACTGTGTGTGTTTGTGAGTGCGTGTGTGTGTTTGTGTCTGACTGTGTGTGTGTGTGTGTGTTTGTGGACTGTGTTTGTGTCTGTGTATGTGTCTGACTGTGTGTGTGTGTGTGTGTTTGTGTCTGACTGTGTGTGTGTATGTGACTGTGTGTGTCTGTGTGTGTTTGTGTGTGTGTTTGTGTCTGACTGTGTGTGTCTGACTGTGTGTGTGTGTGTTTGTATCTGACTGTGTATGTGTGTGTGTGTGTGTCTGACTGTGTGTGTGTGTGTTTGTGTCTGACTGTGTCTGTGTATGTGTCTGACTGTGTGTGTGTGTGTTTGTGTATGTGTCTGACTGTGTGTGTGTGTATTTAGAAGGTGGGGCGGGGGGAAGGGTTGGGTGGGGGTGGCGCGGGGGGGAGGGGGGCGCCTGAGTTTTGTCCTGCCTAGGGCAGCACAAAACCAGGATACACCACTGCCCTTAACCCTGCAACTGTAATTATTGCAGTTTTCATAAACTGCAATAATTACCTTGCAGGGTTAAGTCCTCCCCTAGTGGCTGTCTAGTAGAGTGTGAGGACCTCCTGCGTCGCTAACATCCCCATAGGAAAGCATTGAA